AGGGAAGCCTGTGCATGTGATCATGTAATTAGGTGAATGGCGCTCAGCTGCGATTTTGAATTACGTGTCTCCAGATGCCCTGGATGCCGGCTCTTTTTGGCAGGAGGTTCTGGAGGACGATGAGTAGCATGTCACTTCTTTCGCTAATAGTGACAGTACATAAGCGGCGTTGGGGTGGAGCGGCGATGGGGTGAGGGATGGCTGTTGCCCACAGGGTTGGACTGATACGCTCAAAATTGTTTCGATCATGGTCGTATGATCCTGTGGGAGCCAAATCCGGTTCACCTGCTGATTCAACCCAGTGTTCACTACAGGTGTGCACAAAAGAACGTCCGCTTATGCCTGCTTGGCTACATCCGAACTTGTGTAGTGCCTTCATTTTGGCCATCAGGTCTTGAGCTCAGATGTTGTGCCACTGGACATCAGGCTTCTGGATGTCAATGTCGCATTGCCCAGACAAGGATTCCAACAAGAATTGGGTGTGAAAGAACTTGAAATAAGCTTGAGCAGACACAGTGGCTGCAAGTAGATGCAATGAAAATTTGTGGCCCACGGTCATGCCATGCTGCCTGCAAAAGTACATATCGTTTTCTAGCTCTTTGAGGCAACGTGGGCTGATACCGTGCAAGTGGGCATGACTTGACAAAGGCTGCATGGGCAGATGGTTTTGGCTCTCGCGGTCTGCTTCCCCAGGCGTAACTGTCAGAACGGTGGTGCTGGCCTCTGTGATGGGTAGCACGTGTGTGCAGCCATGGGAAACTTGGGCAGCCTGGTCAGCCCACCACCGCCGGTTCAACACAGCCAGCCGCCGCATCACAACCATGAGCCTCCACCCTGGAGGCTTGCGCCAGGGTAATTGAGGGGTTATATAGGGATTATATGGTATATGTTGGGTTTCTACAATGTATATAGGGATAATGGACAAGACAATGGAAATTACTCTTCGGAGTCTGGGGTTAGGGGAATTGAGGAATCCCACTGGGCGGACATGGAAGCTGAATTTGTGCTTCGCCCTGCCCTGCCTGTCATTGGCTGATTCAGGCCCAATGACAAGATGTCCGCCTTGCACTTGCTTCGCTCCCGTGAGACACCGGTTGGCCTGAATCTCAGGTGTAATGGAGTAATGTAATGTAGAAGCCTGACAGTTACCAGTATCCTTCCTTCATTCTCTCTATGTACTAGTAATATAGATGCCATCCTCAGACCTATTCTTACCAAATAGGCTACGACACTCTGTGTGATAGAAGCTTGCCTGCTCCCTCCGCTCACTGCGACGTGGCTGAATCTCAGAGGACTCATGCCTGAGCTGGTCAACGCCACCATCGAACACCAGATATCAGGAGCACGTGACTGGGTTGCTTTTAAGGAACTTACGTTACGTTACCATATTGGGGATTTTTTTATAAATCGCCATGTATACCCATTATTTTGACTTAAAACTAAGTTACAATACAGGGTAAACC